TGTGTGTGTGTGTGAGAGAGAGAGTGTGTGAGAATGTGTGTATGTGTGTGTGTGAGAGAGAGAGTGTGTGAGAATGTGTGTGTGTGTGAGAGAGAGAGACAGAGAGAGGCTGCGTGTGTGAGTTTGTGAGAGAGACAGAGAGAGTATGTGTGAGTGTCTGTGTGTGTGTGTGTGTGTGAGACAGAGAGAAAGTGTGAGAATGTGTGTATGTGAGAGAGAGTGTGTGAGAATGTGTGTGTGTGAGAGAGAGTGCGTGAGAATGTGTGTGTGTGTGTGAGAGAGAGAGAGTGTGTGAGAATGTGTGTGTGTGAGTGTGTGAGAATGTGTATATGTGTGTGTGTGAGAGAGAGAGTGTGTGAGAATGTGTGTGTGTGTGTGTGAGAGAGACAGAGAGAGAGAGGCTGTGTGTGTGTGTGTGTGTGTGTGTGTCTGTGTGTGTGTTGCTATGCTTTTTTTTTGCAACTGTACATCTCAACAAATTCCTTATTGGGGACGGTGGGTGGGGGGGGCAGGGGCAAGTCAACAAAGTTTAGTTGTCAGTAGGTCTGCCTGTTTTAGAATCTCAGAGTTGTACATGTCCAGTGCGTGGTTGACACGCATGACCTCACTGCTGTTGAGCTTGAGACGATGCTTCAGCATACAGGAGAAGAGGTCTAGGGGCGCTTTGCCTGCGGCCACGGGGGGTGCCAACCGGTTGATGCGCTCTCGGATGTCCAGTAGCAGCAGCATGACCGAGGATGAGGAGTGGAACTGCGTGCCCTGCGCGTACGACTGGTTGACCTGTTGGACCGCGCTGCGCAGCAGGTCAGTGTTGAAGCGCAGGCTGTAGCCGTACACTTGCACGTCCGAGATCTTGATGTAGATCTGCCGCTTGCTGGGGTCTGAGAGGTCCACGGGGCCCTGGGCCGTCACGTTGCGCAGGGAGGCCGGCAGCTTGGACCGGCTGCGCAAGTAGATGTGCACGGTCTCGAAAACCGTCTTCCACCTATTGCCCAGCAGCAGGGTCCAGTTGTAGCAGGGCAAGTCATGCAGTCTCGTCTTCTCCCAGCTCGGGTAACCGTGCTCGCCAATGGGCGTACTCCAGCCCTCAGAGTGACTGCCGCTGAAGGGGTTAATGTAAACAAAAAACACCGGCTCCAGGCTGCTGTTCCTCATCTGGCAGATCTTCATGGAGAGGCCCACCACCATGTGGATAAAATCCACGCGGTTCTTGTTGCTCTTGAGGGTCAGCGACATCCGCTTCCGCCACCGAGGGTCGAAAAAGGTGTCCAGGCGGATCTCATTGCTGATGAACATGGTCTGGATGGACAGCCGGGAATCCTTTTTCGCCAGGAGGTAATTCAGCTCCAGGTCATGAAAGTCCAGCTCAGTCTCGAAGCTGACAAACTGCTCGCTGCGCTCCGAGTCCACGTTCTGGGGCTCGCAGCGTCCCCGGTACAGCTTGAAGCCTCGGTTGCAGGAGCCGCACAGGGAGATGTTGGCCAGGCTACACATGGCACAGCTGCTATTGCTACCGATGTTGCAGGGGATGGACCGCTGACACACATTGGCCATTGTATGGCACACGCAGCTCTTCTGACTCTCAAGGAAGGTGCCCCAGTAACCGTTCTCGCTGCAGTACAGGAACGACTGGACTCGGTTCAGCCACTGATGAACTGACCTGAAAACAAAGCACACTTTGAGTCAGATCGATCGAATTGTGCTGCAAGGAAATAGAAAGTGATCAGTGCCTGTCAAATCTAAAATGCCATATTAATGAAATGAAAAAGGGCAACATTATAGTAGCGTATCATTTCAGGATAATACGCATCACCTTCAAGGCACACATTACCTTGACAACAAGGTGCAGGGCTGGACGAACACAGCAGGCCAAGCAGCATCACAGGAGCAGAGAGGCTGACGTTTCGGGCCTAGACCCTTCATCAGAAAAGGGGGAGGGGAAGGGGGTTCTGAAATAAATAGGGAGAGAGTGGGAGGCGGATAGAAGAGGGATAGAGGAGAGGATAGGTGGAGAGGAAACAAACAGGTCGAAGAGGCGGGGATGGAGCCAGTAAAGGTGAGTGTAAGTAGGGAGTTAGGAAGGGGATAGGTCAGTCCAGGGAGGACGGACAGGTCAAGGGGGCGGGATGAGGTTGGTCGGTAGGAGATGGAGGTGCAGCTTGAGGTGGGAGGAGGAGATAGGTGGGAGGAAGAACAGGTTAGGGAGGCAGGGACGAGCTGGACTGGTTTTGGGATGCGGTAGGGGGAGGGGAGATTTTGAAACTTGTGAAATCCACATTGATACCATTGGGCTGCAGGGTTCCCAAGCGGAATATGAGTTGCTGTTCCTGCAACCTTCGGGTGGCATCGTTGTGACACTGCAGGAGGCCAAGGATGGACATGTCGTCTGAGGAATGGGAGGGGGAGTTGAAATGGTTCGCGACTGGGAGGTACAGTTGTTTATTGCGAACCGAGCGTAGGTGTTCTGCAAAGCGGTCCCCGAGCCTCCGCTTAGTTTCCCCGATGTAGAGGAAGCCACACCGGGTACAGCAGATGCAGTATACCACATTGGCAGATGTGCAGGTGAACATCTGCTTGATGTGGAAAGTCTTCTTGGGGCCTGGGATGGGGGTGAGGGAGGAGGTATGGGGGCAGGTGTAGCACTTCCTGCGGTTGCAGGGAAAAGTGCCGGGTGTGGTGGAGCTGGAGGGGAGTGTGGAGCGGACAAGGGAGTCATGGAGAGAGTTGTCCCTCCGGAAAGCAGATAAGGCTGGGGAGGGAAAGATGTCTTTGGTGGTGGGGTCGGATTGCAGATGGCGGAAGTGTCGGAGGATGATGCATTGGATCCGGAGGTTGGTGGGGTGGTACGTGAGGACGAGGGGGATTCTTTTTTGGTTCTTATTGCGTGGACGGGGTTTGAGGGATGAGGTGCGGGAGATGTGGGAGACACGGTTGAGGGCGTTCTCGACCACCGACGGGGGGAAGTTACGGTCCTTGAAAAACGAGGACAACTGAGATGTACGGGAGTGGAATGCCTCATCCTGGGAGCAGATGCGGCGGAGGCGAAGGAATTGGGAATAGGGGATAGCATTTTTGCAGGAAGGTGGGTGGGAGGAGGAGTATTCTAGGTAGCTGTGGGAGTCGGTGGGCTTGAAATGAATATTGGTTTCTGGGTGGTTGCCCGATATGGAGACAGAGAAGTCCAGGAAGGGGAGAGAGGTGTTAGAGATGGTCCAGGTAAACTTAAGGTTGGGGTGGAAGGTGTTAGTGAAGTGGATGAACTGTTCAAGCTCCTCGTGGGAGCACGAGGCGGCGCCGATACAGTCATCAATGTAACAGAGGAAGAGGTGGGGTTTAGCGCCGGTGTAGGTACGGAAGAGGGATTGTTCCACGTAACCTACAAAGAGGCAGGTGTAGCTTGGGCCCATGCGGGTACCCATGGCTACCCCCTTTGTCTGTAGGAAGTGGGAGGAATTGAAAGAGAAGTTGTTGAGTGTGAGGACGAGTTCGGCTAAGCGGATGAGTGTATCAGTGGAGGGGGACTGGTCGGGCCTGCGGGACAGGAAGAAGCGGAGGGCCTTAACGCCATCTGCATGGGGAATGCAGGTGTAGAGGGACTGGATGTCCATGGTAAAGATGAGGTGTTGGGGACCGGGGAATTGGAAGTTCTGGAGGAGGTGGAGGGCGTGGGTGGTGTCACGGACATAGGTAGGGAGTTCCTGGACCAGGGGGGAGAAAATGGAGTCTAGATAGTTGGATCAGAGATAGTAGGAACTGCAGATGCTGGAGAATCCGAGACAACAAGGTGCAGGGCTGGATGAACACAGCAGGCCAAGCAGCACTACCTACACTCACCTTTACTGGCTCCATCCCCGCCTCTTCGACCTGTTTGTTTCCTCTCCACCTATCCTCTCCTCTATCCCTCTTCTATCCGCCTCCCACTCTCTCCCTATTTATTTCAGAACCCCCTTCCCCTCCCCCTTTTCTGATGAAGGGTCTAGGCCCGAAACGTCAGCCTCTCTGCTCCTATGATGCTGCTTGGCCTGCTGTGTTCATCCAGCCCTGCACCTTGTTGTCTCTAGATAGTTGGAGATCAGTTCGGTGGGGCAGGAGCAGGCGGAGACAATGGGTCGACCAGGGCATTCAGGTTTGTGGATTTTGGGAAGGAGATAGAAGCGGGCAGTGCGAGGTTGGGTAACGATGAGGTTGGAGGCCGTGGGTGGGAGGTCACCTGAGGTGATGAGGTTGTGGATGGTTTGCGAGATGATGGTTTGGTGCTCAGGGGTGGGGTCATGATCAAGGGGGCGGTAGGAGGAGGTGTCGGAGAGTTGGCGTCTGGCCTCGGCGATGTAGAGGTCAGTGCGCCATACTACAACTGCGCCTCCCTTGTCCGCGGGTTTTCTGGTGAGGTTGGGATTGGAGCGGAGGGAGCGGAGGGCTGCACGTTCTGCGGGGGAGAGGTTGGAGTGGGTGAGAGGGGTGGAGAGGTTGAGGCGATTGATGTCTCGACGGCAGTTGGAGATGAAGAGGTCGAGGGAGGGTAGGAGGCCATGGGGTGGTTTGCATGGTTTGCATCTCTAATATAGAACAAAGAACTGTAAACGTTGGAGATCTGAAACAAAGCAGAAGTTGCTGGAGAAACTCAGCAGGTCTGGTAGCATCTACGGAGAGAAACATTTTCACTGTACTCAGGTACATGTGACAACAATAAATCAAATCAAAGCAACTCCAATCATTTCAGATCGAGTAACCTGTGCTCTGAAGAAGGGTTACTGAACTCAAAATGCTTTCTCTCTACAGATACTGCCAGACCTGCTGAGATCATCGAGCAATTTCTGACATATATCTATTCTTCCTGTTGTTTCAAAATTCTAGAAAATGCCAAAAGGACTATTGATGGTTTCAGAGTGAGATTAGTGATGGGCAACAATCTGGATGGGACAATGGTGGCATTTTTTAAAAAAATAGAAATGTTGAAATCTTAACAACATAAAATCTGGAATATTTACAAAGCAGGTGTTTCAGCCCATCACAGAGAAAAGGCACATTGACAATTCAGCGGTAAACCTCCGAGAGTCCCCCCTACCGACTCACTGATCCTTTGTCTTTTCCTCTTTGAGGTGCAAAGGCAACAGCTGCTGCTTCTCCCTGTCTCCAGTTGGGATTGTTCACATGTGCTTGAAACTGTTATGGACCAGACCAGACCCCCTCAAAATATATTAACAAGATAGCCTAGACCCTAACTTTTTCTAATTTTAAAGGTAAATGTAGAGTGCCGTGTTCCAGGTACAATTTAACTGGTCAAACTACTCAAAGTTAAGCAAAACACAATTTATTTAAACACCACAGTGCAAATACAACAAAAGAAAGAAGAACTTGGAATAATTTAACTCTATTGGAAAACTTAACAGAATAATAGATACAATAATCATTACTAATTTACTGTTCCGATATAGTAACATCCCATAAACACACCCTTTGGCAAAAAGGCAAATTCAGGAAAACAGATTTTGTCTCACGTGCAATCCAACAGCCCAGGATGAGAATTCCCAATTTTTGGTTGTAATCGAGAGAGGGAAAAATAACTTCCCCACTTCTTCAAGCCCACAACAGCAACTGCTGAAAGCTAAATAAAAATCCTTGATTTGTGAGATCTTGACTGCACCCAGTCAGGCTGCTTCTATTGTTCCAAATTTAAACGTACCCAAGGCCTCATGAGTTGTTATCTTCTCATAGACTGCTCACTACCTGTATCCCAGTCTCTCTCTACAAGAAACCAGGATACAACACATGTCTTAAAGCCACAGCATTGTCACAACACACATACTGGACACATACATCTAAAGACAAACTTCTGATGGCTGAAGCAAAGCAACCACTCACTGTACACAAGATGGGTTAAACTAATTGACTGTAGCATGTCATAAGCAGTTCAAACTGCTTTACACGTCATACTCGAGAGATATCATTTACATTCTGCAACTCAACCTTGCTCACTCAATAGGACACAGCTTACCCCTCATATTGCCATCATCTCGGGTTTAGGCTGTTTTGGGAGCATTGTGTCCAGTTCTAGGCACAAGTCCTCAAGAAAGGTGTGCTGCCCTGAGTAGTGTAGATTCATTGAATGGCAACAAGACTACGAGGCTTAAATTCTGCTGAAAAGTTGCACTCGTTATTCCCTCAAATATAAAAGATTGAAGAGTGATATATTTGAAACATTGAAGGTCATTAAATAAGTGATATTTCCTCTGATGGGGGAGTCTAGAAGACAGTAGATAGGCTCCTTAGGAGTTGATATCAAAAAAGTCTTCTTCACATAAAGGATAGTGGAATTCAAGAATTCTCTGCTTCAAACAGCCTCTGTTGAGGCTGGATGAACTGAACATTTTAAAACCATGCTTAATGGAATTTTATTAGTCAAAGGCCATTGAATACGGTGGGTAGATAGAATTAAGGTGCAGATCTATCACGATATAATGGAAGGCGGGAACAGGTTTGAGGGGCTGAATGGCCTATGCCTGTTGCCGAAAGAAATAAAAAAAGTGAATAAAGCTCTGCAGGTCAATAGTTGCGATTTCAGGTCAACTTCTTTCTTGCATAAATGCCACTTGAACGACTGAAATTTTCCATTTTGTTTTGTTCTTATTTCAGATTTCCAGCATCCACAGTATTTCATGT